TTATGTCATTGCCACCTTTCATTCTGTTCCTGTCATCTTTGTTTTCAGGGGTATCCGTGAAAAGATGCTCCAGAAAAACTTTCAGAAATACTCTGACTACATTAGTACATCATGTAAAAAGACACTTGATAACGGTGAGCACCTGAGACTATTCAGAAATCTGAAATWCCATTTGTCTACCCATGCTTATTTGAGTAGTTTTATACTGGCCACTAACCCTGTTAGTCACTCTCCCAGAAAAAAATACCCCTGGGCACGAAGTCTGTTAGAGCTTGTTCTGGAAGTCTGAATCTCAAAGTAATGCCATCACATGTTTATTTATATATACTTAATGCTTTTTGTCCACCCCAGGGGGTCCACCAATCAGGAATGAGATTGATTTAGACTTCTGGTACAAACTCTAACAGACTTCCTGCTCAGGGGTATTTTTTCTGAAAGTGAGAAAGGAGCGACAGAATTATACCCCTGCGTTACCTTGGATGCATTATTATTGCATTTCAACACAAATGAATTTGCCATCCAAAAAGATACAAAAGTTGCACCCTGTCAAAAATTGGSCTGTCATACTTAGATAGGATGTCTAACAGTGGTTGTGTCTTATGTAGATTCAGACTCTGATTCAGACGACGAAACAGAAGAATGCAAAAAGAAAAAAGCACATCAAACACATGATACMTGGTTTCCTGCTGCACAGTTTGCTGTTAATAAGTCTATTCTAAAAGAAGTAGAAGAACTAGAAGAGAAGGTGTTTGCAGCTAGTCTACAAGTTAAGGTGAGTAAATATACAAACAAAGACTTTTTTAGAGGAACCACTCTTGGCAGAATCTACTGGCAGGTGTTAAAGGTCCCATCACCAGATTCAAAAAAAGAACTTTGCATGATATGCATTTATTAGCAGTTAGGGCCCCTGTTGTATGAAGGGTGGATAGTGCTATCCGTTGGATAAATCTTATCCAGTGGATAAATTTATTGGATAACAACATCAAGTTATCCACTGGATAAGGATTTATCCATCAGATACCGCACTATCAACCCTTTATGCAACTGGGCCCAGATTGCCTGGAAGTTCACTCTTTTGCATTAAAAAAACGTGTGAACAATGCAAACATGGAAAGCTGTCAAAAAGAAGCCATATTCTAAGGGGAAATAAATTGAATCGTCATCATTTTTTACATAACTCTAAAAAAAATTATGAACAAATTATGATTTCTATTTGATCCAATCATCAGATTTTACTATAAAGTAAGGTATGATGTACTTTCAAAAAGCAAAATGAAARCATGGGAGTAACACACTTTGTTTTAAGGCTATAAGAATAGGAAGAAGTAAAAMAAAACTCAACAWGATGCATATGAGAAAGGATGYGCAYGAACAATGCARAAGTGCCAAGATATTTCTCTGGGCAATAGTGCTGCAGGTTGTTTTAAAAAATGTTTTTAGTTTTATGCAGTCATCTCCTATACCACAATATTAGGTGCGAGTAACTCACCCAGATTTGGATTGTGCAGACACTTTAAAGTGGGAATCGGCTTGATCATGATTTTGCCACGATTAGCAAACTGTTTTCTTCTGCACACAAATCAGTATTTTTGATTATTTGTATCTCTAACAGTATGATAGATGTTATCGACTTCAGCCATTCATAAAACTCTAACATTTTCTTTTCGTCAGGGCTGGAAATTGCCAGCAAAGATGTCCAAAACCCTTTCATTTAACACACTTAATGGTGAGTACTTACTCTTTTGTTCAGATGTGGTGAGTTGTTTAATCAAAAGATAATTGGTGTTGTCATACTATTGCAGACATCAAACCCAACAATGATGACAACCCATTGTCAGTTGCTGTTTCTCGACTAGAGGCGCTGGAACTTGGTATTGAGAGAAGATATCTAAAACACCCCTTCAGAGATGAGTAAGTGAATTAATCAAAATGACAAATAAAAGGTGACGTAGTGGCGGGTAATTTGAATTCGTTTGACACAAGGTAGAATATTAATTAAGAGTTTGGCATAATGTCTTTCCTGGTTGATGCCTGTTTTACATAGCTCTATTTTGCATCGTATATGCCTTATTGGTTGAGCACACTTAACTGCTCTACCAACCTCCTAGCCCTTGTTTGGTTTACATGTGTTGGGGCATTCAAGAAAGATAAACTGTTCCTGTAATACAAATGTGGATTAACACCTACTCCAGTTTAATGCGTATATAAAACCTATATCAATATGTTTACTGTATAAGAAGTGTTGTTATTCAAAAGACCCTGACAAACGGTCCCAACTATTGACGCAATAATTAGACAACAATTTTGTTTAGTCAAATCTTGGGCCCATTTGCCATGGTCCTGTTAAAATGTTGGCTTAATGTTGGGTCAAATGTATAAATACTATTTGCACTGGCCTTAACATGTTTTTCTCACCTTTTACCCAGTAAACTGCAGATCCCTTCAAACATTGGCACTGCCCTCGCTCCTGGTGAAGTACCCACAGGTAATGAACACCAAATAGTGATCAGTTTACTATGATTAACTCATTTGTTTATATCGTCGATTTTAGAGGTCCAATAGCACTATTGGTATTGTTTATTATTGTTACCATGAAATACTTTTACAACTTGCAATATATCAATCGAGGTAGTGAGGTACACATTTGTCTTGCCGAGGTGGGTAGGCAGGGGGGAAGCCCCCTTCCCCTTTCGTGGCAACAAAATGGCAGCTCTTAAGAATTTATAGGGTAATTTTCAATTTTTTTTTATTTTGCCCCCCCCCCCCCCTCCTTCCCCAGTGTTAATATGAATGATAAACAAGACTACTTTAACTTTTTAGAAGTGAATGATGAAGATTCTGCAGCACAATTTCAACCCATCAAGACAAAGTAAGTTTGTCAACATAAATAGGTAATTTAACAATTTGCCAGTGGAAGAAACTAAAACGTGATGTATTGAGGCATAACTACGCCACAATCTGTGGTGTTACTGTGCACTGGCGAATCCAGGAATTTTATCAGGGGGGTGACTATTACAAAGGATTTACCATGTTATTAATATATGTAATAGGACTCCATGCTGTCCAATTAAGAAATAATTGGAMAAGGAAAATTCTGAGGACTGACAAAATTGGATGAGGCCGTAGGYCGAGTCCAATTTGGCAGTCAGAGGAATTTTTCGAGTCTAATTATTTCTTGATTGGGGAGCATGATATCCCATTACCTATTAATTATTTAGCTGCCTAATTAATCCCATATCAACAAGACCTGTCCAATTAAGAAAATATATGGGATTAATGAGAAGCTGTATAATTATTATTATTATTACTCCCTTCACTACCCCTGGATCCACCCCTGCTGTGGGTATTAATTATATTAACCCTTGTTCCTTTCATACTTTCACCACAGCAATAGTTGTACTTAAACCTTTCCTTCAAAAAAAAAAGCTTTTTAATTATCCTGYTCATGAAGTAAGGTGTGTTTTGTCTGATTCCTTTGTGTTTTACATTTATAGTGTTACACCTGCTTTAAGAACATGGCGCACTGCTGTAGCCTCTGCCACCAATGCCGCCCAGCTTTCCATGTGTTTGAATATGTTAGCTAACTGTATAGCGTGGGAAAAATCTATCATGAAAGTGGTGAGTATTTTAATAACGATGAATCGATGTTGCTCGTTTCTGGCAGAAGGGGTAAGATTTTTCATTTTCTTTGTCTTCTATTTCTGCCAGTTCTGCCAAATGTGTCGTAAAGGGGACAACGAGGAGCTGTT